ATATTAATTATTGTAAATTAAAATTAGAGTCTTAATTATGTAAATTGAAATTATTATCTTAATTAATTACTACATTTGACAAAGAATTTAAACTTCAAAAACAAATTGTTGCAAAAAAAAAATGTACTATATTTAAACATTTTTTAAAAGCTTAGAAGATGGCTTGTCTACACCAACTCCCTCCGTATGTTTTGGGTCACATAACATGCAAATGGTGAATTAGGTGGTACTATGTTATTAGCGAGAAAGAATTCTGTTAGTCTAATTAACAAATGTTTGTCAAATAGACTATTTTGACATAGAATTAATAGTTTATAGATCACTTTAAAAGAAAAAATTGTTTTTAGACTAGATTGATATAAAGTACATAGTTACTAGACTATTTATTAAGTTTAGCCAAAAAAAGAAAAGTGAAGTACCTTTAATATTAAAGTGGCCAAAAATGTTTAACGTTGTTTTCAGAGAAAAAGGACTTTAATGATATCCTCAGGTTCAGCACTCTAGTATATTTATTAAAAAAATTTGATGAAGATTCATAATTAGAAATGATACTTACAGTAATAGATCCATCGTTGCCAAAATCTCAGCTTACTTCCAGTGAAGAATTCCGATGGTGTTCCGGCCAATTCTCTCAACGGAGCCAATTCCCCTCCGTTAGTCATCATATTTGGACAACGATGGAGTGCATCCAACGCAATATCTGATATTAAAGAGTAAAAAAGAAGTTATTAAATATACTATATATTATTCATTTTAGAAAAATAATTAAGATAAATTCTTTTTATAATTTTTCCACACAACTTTACATATCATTTAATAATTAATTTTTTTAGTTTATAAGAATATGTAAAAGTCTTATAAAAAAAATTATACAAAAAATTTGTTTGCATATCATTGCCCTTCATCATATATGATCATAAATTTTATTGCATTTACTAGCTCTTACCATATAGTTTGTTTCGGATGCTTATAGCAAGAAACAGGTACCCTTGCTTCCCACCTTCGGGGCGAAGGAGATCAAATGGAGTGTTACGATAGAGGTAGCGTGCCATTTCCTTATACCCTGCATCACATGCCGCTACAAGCGGGATATGGCCACGTCGACCAGTGATAGTGAGCAAATTCTTATTCATTCCAACTAAAAATTTTGCAATTTTAGTCTCTCCGGCCAAAGCAGCAAGCGAGAGAGCTTTACACCAGTCTACTTCTTTTTTTCCTGTCTGATCTTTGAGAATGCACTCCAGCAATTCTTCGACAATTTTTTTCTGGCCCAAATGGACCGCAAGATGAAGAGCTGTGTCATCTTCTGACACTATTACAGAATTTTTAAGTTCCCTCACAACATCTACATTTCCCTTCACAATGGCATCTTCCAATTGTTTTAGTTTCGCTGCCAAGATTCAACTAATCTTGATTAAGTTTAAATAATTTTGGGACAATTAATATTAAGATGAACCACATAAAGATTTCTTTTAAGAGAGATAGAGGAAAAAACCTGGAATATCTTCTTGGGACACTGACTCTTCTTCTGCTACTATTTCTCCTCCTCCTCCTCCTCCTCCTCCTCTTCCTCCTCCTTCTCCTTCTTCTCCTTCTTCCCCTTCTTCATCTTCTTCTGATAGGTCAATGCAGTGACCTTCTTCTCCTTCTTCTGATAGGTCAATGCAATGACCTTCTTCTCCTTCTTCTCCTTCTTCCCCTTCGTCTCCTTCTTCTTCTTCTTCTCCTTCTTCCCCTTCTTCTTCTTCTTCTGATAGGTCAATGCAGTGAGACTCAGAATCGTCTTTATTTTCATGCATTTGGGCCAACTTATCCCAAGCACATTTGGCTGAATTGGTATCCTTTATCTTTTCAAAACCCTCTTTTCCGCATGAAATTTGAATTGCATGCAGAGCGGCAGCGACCCTTTTAGTCCATTCCGTTTCATCTACTTCAGAAGGCCTCTCACTCGATATAATAGCTTTCCAAAGATCTTTAGAGACCAAATAGCTTTCAATGCAAATACGCCACCGCTCATAATTATCGTCATCCAGTTCAATCATTTTCATCTATACCAAACCAATTAAAAAGTAATATCAGAATAATTAAAGCGGTTTGAAGAAATTATATGCAGTAATGCAGAATAACTAAATCCCGTGGCATGCTTGAATTATAGTTCAGGAAGTTGAGTAGTAGAGGAAGGCTGGTTCAGGTTGGCAAGCTGTTTTATTTCCAGCAGATGGTTTGGTCGGGAGGACGGTAGGAATATATAATTGCATGTATTTTTGAAGTGCACTGGGAGTTACTTTATGTAATGATATCCGAGGTCATTGATCTCAACATCGGAAGTGGGATCTCTAATTTCGAGACCTGCTACTGATAGCGAACAAGGTTCACAAAAAGCTGCATTAGACGATTTGTACTTTGGATATATTCACTCTATTAATCACGTGATATTTTGATTATCACTTTTTAAAAATTATGTGAAAACTTATAAAGACCTCTTTAAGGTTCCTTTCAAATGATATTAGATTGAAATCAAAAGACTTTAATTTAATTATTGATGGTTTAAGTATTAAAATATCTATTTCAAAGTTCAAACATCAAGGTTTTGCAGGTTGCTTGCACGGTTGACTTCAGTTCAGAAAAGCTAATATGTTTTGTGCAATCACACTTAATGTTATATTGTGAAAGTGGTTGGGAAAGCTGTGTATGAGAAGGTAAAAAAAATATTCTATAAAAGGTTTATAAATTATATACTGAAATTTAGTTAAAGTCTTGTTAAATTTGTCAACTTTTTTTAATCCCTGTTAAAAAGGTCGTATTGGCTCACTGTCTCGTAGAT